GTTGATTCCATTGTTGCTTAAAATGTTTGGCTAGTTAATGACAACTGGATGACCGTGGTCTTACCTTTTGGATTAACACTCCAGACAGTCTTAAAGATGTTCTATGGATCTAGGCTCAACAGCTCATTCTAATCTGTTAATATTGTTACTTTAAAACAAGGTATAACTTATGATAGCAGTCAATACCCCACTGGAACAACATAGTAGCCTACAGACTATAAATATTTGCCATGGCCAATTCATCGTACTAATTAAAAACCCTTTAGAAATCCGTGGACGTTTAGACAGGCAGAAACTTGACAGATAGAACTTACGACTATTAATATGTAGAACGCATCTCACATGATTGTATTACATCGCAATCATTCGCAGTTGACGCAACACAACCGTCATCAAATTGTTCACCAGCCTGCTTCCGAGTCCTTATTCACCATTGTTTAGAAACTGAATGACGCAGTTATCATAATTAAAACAAAGGTAATTTGGAATTAATCGTTAAAATTCCATTGATGATGGGCTTTGCACATTTCATAAAGTTCACCACAACTAGTGCGTGGTCATATTGAATGTAGAGAAATCACTTAGGATTTCTTGCAAAGATGATTGCAACATTTCTTCATGCGGGTTTATCTGGTAGATTTATTTCCTACAGTTAAGTATATCATAATCATATAAAATGTATTACGGAATTAAATAGAATTCTGACCTCACTGAATTAAGGAGAAAAACTGGATACAAATTTCACAGTAAAACACTAACACATTATTTACCTGCATAAGGATTAATACAAACAAATACAACTCAGTCACAGTCTGACATATACACAAAAACGATAAATACTTTTTTTCTAAATCTGGAGAAATATCTATGCCAGTGGAGAATCATATCTAATATGATCTAAACGAGAATAAAATAGAGTCAAATCTCCAAGATGGAATTTGTTATTCATGTCCCCTTGTCACCCTTATTAACAAAAACATAGAAATCAGTCTTCAGGCATGTATAAACATGCTGGTATGACCAGCGAATCCATTAGTACAATACTGAAGACACCTTCTGGCCTTGACAACGTGTAACTAGCACAATAATATGGTCAACACAATCCAAATTTGCAGCCTATACGTCACACGTCACCAACCCTATAAGTGTGAAAATGTTTGTTAAAAAAAATGTTCATCTTTCTAAATTAAAAGAAAGAAACTCCTGGTATGTTCATCATACCACAGTTAGAGTTCTATAGGTGAACATGTTCCATAAACCGACACCATTTTCAGGTGTCCTGAACAGTTTTTACATTATGCCTTGTAATGGTCCCATGCACAGTTGATTATACATGACCTAGCATTGTGATTATTTTACATCAACTGAATAATTTTCTATCTCACAAATTCTGGTAATTTATGATATGTCGAAATCTTGCACACACTCAACGCCATTACATTAACTATTTGACGTCCCTTGCAGAGCATTCTGGAAGAGACGTTTAAAAGTTGTTTCTTTGGATCATGGTTTAACTTGTAACGTCTTACTCTGAAACAAAGGATAATTGAATTGGTTTCTGTTGTCTTCATATTATTTTCTTTAACATCAAGAGCGTAGTACCAACCGCACAATATCAACTATGTTAACTATATAGGACCGTATAATACCAATCACACCAACCGTATTGAACTTACTCTATAATATCAGCTCTACAAGCCGTATAGCACCAATTCATAGTAACTTTTGCTCTAATCTGTATAAATAATACATATTATTTTCATAAAGTAACTTTGTACACTATTGCTACAATCCATGCGAAGGATAACAAGTGTATTGAAATTATATCCTAATTAAAAGTTAAATATTTAATCGTTACCGCATTATTGATGGTTTCAATTTACATATTCAGTTTAGGACTCTGTTATTGTAGTCTTGGTAGTTAAGTTAAACATACGCTTTCTGTTGATCGTTGACATTATAATCTTAGCAATCTAACTCAAAGTTACTTTGCCTTATTAGTACTTCTATAATAAACATTTCACTTTTTATTTCACTTTCACATTTTTTCCATTAATCATATCTTACTTTACATACGTTGTACCATTAATCATATCTTACTTAATATACGTTGTACCATTAATTATATCTTACTTTATGTATACGTTGTACCATTAATTATATCTTACTTTATGTATACGTTGTATCATTAATCATATCTTACCTTACATACGTTGTACCATTAATCATATCATACTTTACATACGTTGTACCATTAATCATATCTTACTTAATATACGTTGTACCATTAATCATATCTTACTTAATATACGTTGTACCATTAATTATATCTTACTTTATATATATACTTTGTACCATTAATCATATCTTACTTTACATACGTTGTACCATTAATCATATCTTACTTTATGTACACGTTGTACCATTAATTATATCTTACTTTATATATATATATACGTTGTACCATTAATTATATCTTACTTTATATATATATACGTTGAACCATTAATCATATCTTACTTAATATACGTTGTACCATTAATTATATCTTACTTAATATACGTTGTACCATTAATCATATCTTACTTTATGTATACGTTGTGCCATTAATCATATCTTACTTTATGTATACGTTGTACCATTATTCATATCTTACCTTATGTATACGTTGTACCATTAATCATATCATACTTTACATACGTTGTACCATTAATCATATCTTACTTTATGTATACGTTGTACCATTAATCATATCTTACTTTATATACGTTGTAGTTATCAATGGTGTTGTCAAATGCAGTGTAAAGATCGTTTAAGAGATCGACAATTTCCATGGGTTCACTATAGGCGGAGATGGTGGTAAATCCTACAATGTCACTGAAGTAAATGGTTACTTCTTCAAACTTCTCTGGTTCAACTGGTAATCCCGCCTTTAAGTTCTCAGCGACCGTACTGAATAATAAATAGAGAAGCACACATTAGTCTTGAAAAGCAACAACGGAACAAATAAAATAGACAATTATAGTGCCAAAGCCAAATGTTAGGATCTTTAAATTGTTGAGAGTAATCAATCTTTCAAAATTACTTCAAGCTATAGCTTCGCAGATGTAAAATTGTTTGTTTTGACAAAACTTCTATTAAGCAGAGTAATTTTTAGAACATGGATATACTGTCTAAAGTATTGAGTGGAATTTATTGCTTTTTCCGTTTTGACTGTATTTTTCCGCAACTCATAAGTTTGATTTGCATATTTAGAATATTTAAGTGTTGTTTGTTTTTCTGTTTGTTTATGCATTCTTTTAAATGTAAATTTTCAATTCTCTACTACTTACTAAACTGATTCCATGTTTTTACTTAAAACTGTTGGAGATTTGATTTTGATTAGTTTTGACCTGGTATTATTTCTAAACTTGCAACGTATTATTGTTATAAGCATATAAAGTTAACGTCCATTCTATTCTAGGTCATTCTTGCCATTTTATTGCTTTTAGAAAAGGCTTAATGTAGGCAATTTTTTGTACCTAGGTAACATCCGATTCAGTAGCTGGTCTGTCTTCTTTTTTTCTTCGTCTAACTGTATCGTTCGTTCTTTAATCAAGTCCTCTAAGTTATTCGAATACTTCTCCAACATTTGAAACATGGTGTCAACGATGTTGACTTTTCTGAAACAATAAGCAAAATTCAGCTACAGAACATTGTTGTAATAATCTCGACTCGTCTTCTGGAAAATAAGACATTATTAGAAAGTTGTAATCGTAACATGCTAAAAACAATTAACAACGTATGTGTTAACCTTAAACTACAGTACAAGACATGAACAATACTAATTGAATAACGCGTTAGAAACAGCGACGACAGACCTATACAGTTTTTATATTATAAATCAACAAAGTTCAGTTTTAATAATATAACCCTCTTCGTTAAGTAGAAACTTAAAATAGGAATATAGTATAGAGTGAAGCAATGGGTTTTCTTATGTATTTTTGGAAAGGTAATTGAGTTTAAAAGAAACAAATAGATATATATAATAGAGGAAAATGAATTTCGAGCTATAACTAAGCATTAATATTTAAGTATCTAAACATTGAATTTTTATCAAATTCTACAATACATTGTGTCATGTGATAAACAATATACACAATTACAAGATCTTCATGGTTTCATATTTTCCGTAGCCATGGCTACACATTTTCAAGTGTTCACAATTGCTGCTCCCCAATGGCACAGCGGTATATTTACGGACTTACTACGCTGGAAACCTGGTTTCGATACCCGTGATGGGCAGAGCCCAGATAGCCCATTGTGTAATTTACAGCTATCTGTTAATACGTACTTTCCTTGGTTCAGCCTTTTGAACTGTTCATTAATTTCACCAAAGTCGGGCCTCATATCTGGGTATTCTGCCCAACACTGCCTCATAATGTTGATAGCTTCAGGTGGCGCTGCTTGCTTGGACACTGAAGGTCTGATGAGTGGTGGAGGACACTTTAGTTTCTCAATCAATTCTAACAAGAAAAAAAGAAAATAGGCTTAGTACCAGATTTCATGCTCATTCAGCTAAGGCGTTTTACACCCTGAGACTTTTTCCATAAGAAAAAGAAAACATTTCCTTAATGCTGTGTTTATATATATATATTGGTTAGACCTCATTCAGTGGTAGATAGAATAGACAGATAGGTAAGTAACTGATGACCAGAAATTCTATGTAATAATTACAACTGTATAAGCAGCCTTTAAACATTATGTATAGCAACAAAGCACATTGGTTTATAAATATTAATTTATAAATAAACGTACAGAAGGAAACACGTTCTATTATTCAGTGTCTTTACGTGACGAGAATAATTGACAAGGTGTTTATACGAAGCCAGGTTTGAGTTAATACATTGCTTAAAACAATATAAGAATAATCTAATTTTTTAAATTCTAACATATTCATTTAAACACTATATATGTAGTTCACAAACAGAATGAGAGTGTAGGTTGATATTATTTTATTTTATTCAAAAGGTTTTATAAGTTAATTTTTTTTAAATCGTTATGTACCTGAGGGTTAAAAACAGCATTAACTGGAGTTGAAGGTCAAGAAGAACAGATTATTAGGATGATACTATAAAAAACTACAGTATTTATATCTCTAAGGTTTCATGAAAAATCGTACCACGACAGTCTTTATTGAACACCACTGATTTTGGAATCACTTGCGCAATAGGTAAACCTAAATGATCTGGTCCCGAGAGTATTTTCAGTGTTGCAACTTGTTTAATATCACAAGTAAGAAGTTTTTTTTGTCACTAATGTCTTGGAGATTATAATTATGTTTTCAACTCGACAGCGCTGTAAAAGATTACAGATGTGAAAATGATAACCTTGTTTTGATTCTTGGAGTTTTGAAACTTTTTATTTTTTTGTGGGTGAGTTTCATCCATACTCTTTTGCTATTCTTTTGAACTTTCGGGACTATAATCTACTCGTTATTAGTTAAGTTAAGTCGAATCTTTTCTAAATAATTTTGAAACTTAGAGAGCAACTGTTGGCACAGTCGATGCATGTTATTTCTGATTAGCTCTTGTTACCTTTACCATGTGTAAATATTCCACGCACAATTCAACAGTTCATATAATTCACGTAAAGTGCTTCTTAAGCGTGATTAATAAGATATTAAAGCTCACTCATAGAAATTCTTTCATGTACATCTTAAGTGAGCGGTTGTTCATTTTTGAAATATGTCAACGTTCAATACAAGTTTCAAGGTAAAGTATTATTTAATTGATTTGACCTAAAACCAAGACAAATAATTACATGTATAAATTATGAATTTCAGACACTGTTTTGACTACGTTCACACCATAAGTTACATATAGAAGATTTCACCTTCAGCTGACAATTGCAGCATGGAATAGGGCTGTCCTCTAACGACTACTTCTTGCATTATTATCGAAAAACTGTAAACATCTCCAACTTGAGTCCCCCTTTTGAGCAATGTTTCATCTCGCAGAAGTTCTGGTGCAGCCCAAAGTTTGTCTGTGGAGATGGCAGACAATATAAATGTGAAAAATGAGAACTGAATTCAGTATTGTAATAATTATAGAATATTGATCAATTGTAACGTGAACATATATATCTTTGCTGGTTTTATCTGCACTCGGAGAATTAAAATAAGCCTCAAAACTTATCTAGTAAAGATTTGCGTAATTTATTTTGTAGGATTTAAATTTAAGAGTTTGACAAAAACAAACAAGTCTATCATTACTATGTTTAAAACTAGCGCCAGGTTAATTTTAAAAACAAACATTTTCAGTTTAACCTGTGCCTTAAATATTTTCATGCCATTTTACGTCTATAAAGGTTGATCTGTGGCGTAAATATCATATAGTTTACGCATATAAAAATCCATGTTAAGCTATAGGCTGATTTGTCCAGTAAATGTTATTCAGACTAAATCTCTAAAGAGCAACTTATACCAAGTTGTCATACCAGTTTAAGTCTATAATAGCTGATCTGTAACGTAAATACTATCTCTATATCAATAGTTTCAGTTTATCAAGGTTGGCTTGTATTGTAAGCGTTATTTATATATCTATAGTTTAAGTATATAGATGTTAGCCTGTATTGAAAATGTTAAAACCAGCACGGAAAACAAATATATAACGCAGGCGGTAGCACTGCTTGTGTAGAAATGGCTCGAATTGTTCATCGAAATGATATTCTAAATATTTCCTCAATAGGTCATTAGAAATGTACATACTATACAGTGTTTCCTTTTATAACAATATCTATGTAATGGCTGAGTTACAAGTTCTGCGAATGTCTGTAAATATCATAGCAAAAAGTTTGAATTTCTTGTTCTTCTTCTTTCTTCTGCTTCTTTTTTATTACATGATAATTCAAAAACCAGTACAATGGCGTCAACCAATTTCACTGAGGTGACATAGTTTCAAATGGAGTATAATAACTAGTAGTAATTAAAAAATTAGAATTTAGTGTAAACGATGTTATCATTTTCCCTTGAAATTTGGTGTTCTTTTAAAAAGCTTAAGTACAGGGTGAAACATAATTACCAGCCAATAATCGATAAACAATAAATATTACAATTGGAACTTCATTGTACGTAGAATTTGGTTATAAATACAACCTTTCTATGTGTATTGAAACACTGCATTAAAAAAACAAAAAACAAGCGAACAAGTAAAGAGAAACTTTTCAAAAAAGGAAGTAAATGTAGGGATGGCTAATATCAATCATTCAAAAACAATGCAAACAAGATGGTAGAGATGGCATTTGCATCATTTCTACACAGGCAAGAATTAACACATAACAATATATATAAAACTATTCTCTTGGAAATATGATGGTCACATATTCTGTTCTATGTGGTTTTTCGCTCGCGCACGCACGCACGTGGATAAGCAACCTCTCAACTTACTAACATGTTTTTTGTGGGGTCCACATATTGCATTATATTAAGTAATTGTATGGTTTTTGTTGTTAGAGAATTCAGTGAAATAAACTGACGACAATATAACAATTGCTCGTTTACTATGTAAAACACGCAGGATATATAGCAATAACAAGTGTAATTGATGGCATTTTGGTTTATATTTTTGTGTGTAACCCCTACATTTCTAAGAACCCTGTAACCAATAAAGTCATATATCCACATACAATTTGATGCATAAATATTTATTAAGAAAACTGTTACAAAAACAAATGAGGTCCACATGTAGTTAGAACTCCTTACCAAAAATCTCGTTTTAAAGTTATAATTTCGACAATTGCGTAAACATAAAAAATAAATACGTTTTAAAAGAGCACGTGTTTTACGTACAGATGGCTAATCCATCTTCATTGGAGTGACAACAACTCCTATCTCTGAAAGAAAGCCCCCCCCAGTGGCACAGCGGTATGTCTGCGGACTTACATCGCTAGAATCCGGGTTTCGATACCCGTGGTGGGCAGAACACAGATAGCCCAGTGTGTAGCTTTGTACTTAATTACAAACAAATTACTGAAAGAAATATTCTTGCTAATTAGAGTGTCCCTCAGATAGATAAGTAAATATATATTTCATGAAATTGGAGATAATTTTTGTTTTATTTTATTTATAAGCTAGTGGACTTTAGCACTGGCCAAAGCACAGGCTCTCCTCCTTCAATTTCTGGAATTCCGTCGTAGCACGTTTATAAGTGCACAGTCCAGGTAGCATTGTAGAAATAATTAGTAGAATGCGCTCCTTTTATGATTTAACCTTATGTGTAAGCTGAAGTTATACACTTGACAGTGTTTTCTGTGATAGTTATTGGCCATTTCTATTTAATATCAGTATAACCTTTAAGACAAGGCTATGATTGTCTTACTAACATTTATAGAAGTAATTTGAGTTTACATGAAATATTTTATCTACAGCCTTAGACCAAACATCGATCGCCAAACTTCGTCTTCTGAGCAACATAATGATTTTTGATGTTGCTCATTTTCGTTTTAAGATTTCAAAAACTTAGTTCCAGAGTACTTGCTGAATACATTAACGTACGAATTAGACTTAGCGATATAAAAGAAAACAATTCCGCCACATAATACGCCGTTTTTCTTCTCAGATTTGAACTCATATGTAGTTGTAAATATTGACTATTGCCACTTCGCAAGTTGTATTCTCATTGTTCATTGTAACTTAATTAATGTTCATAATATTAATAGTAAGAATTACAATAAAAAGTTACTTGAAAATATTTCGATAGCAGCTTATGGTCTTTTAAGGGGGACACAAGTTTGTTTGTTTTTTCGGCTTGGATCAGCAAAGAATACTGTAAGTGGAAGTGGAAAACAGCCCTATGAAATATGGAATAATCTTACTAAACTCATTTTGTCCTTCCATTTTTATTTTAAGTTGTTCTCTCTGATGAAACCATATCAGGTTCATGCGATTTATAATACTTAGAATATAAAACTAAATAATTAAATAACTTTAAAAACCTTTCTCCTCTATTCGAATTGTTCTAGGTTCAACCTTTGAGTTACAAAAACGAGTAATTAAGGTGAAAACAGGTTTGTTTTTTTTAAGAAAATGGTTTGATTACAAATGAAAATTTAACTACTTGCTAAGAGGAAGCTGTGTGTGTGTTTATTTTGTTCTAAATATATAAGGTTTAAAGTTTCAAAAGCCACTACGTATAGATCCACTCTATGACATATTTACCAAAAGTTAAATAATATATTCGCTTGGTATTTTCGTTCGTTATAAGTCAAACGACTGCCTACAATATAACGCCTCCCCACTGGTGGGTCAGCGGTAAGCTTAATAGCTTTCGCCACTTTTTTTCTTTATTGCAAATTTCTATAAACCACACTATTATACTTAGCTTAGCTCAAACCTATAGCTCCACATTATGCCAAACAACAAAAATAAACGTAACATCTTATCTCTAGATCAGTTCAAACCCACAGTGGTCCCCAACGCACGTTTAACTTAGGAGTTATATCTTCAAAGTAGCAAGAGAGGAATTTATATATATACATATATATTTTTTTCAAATAATAAAACATTTTTTATAGTACTTTGTTTAAATATTTATAAGTTTCTGGTACGACAGCGTTTAATTAATTCCGTTTACAAGACTTGAATTTAAGAAATCGCTTGTTTTTGTTTAAAGATTAAAGAGAGCTTTAAGTTCTTTCTTTTGCTCAAATGGTTATGTACTATTATTAAAGACAATAAAAAGGAGCAACTGTTCAGTTCAATAAACAAAAGAACGATAATAAAACGTCTATCATTTCTGTCTTAGTTAATTGGTGGAAGAGATACACATAAATTGATCTGAAATACAAGCAAGTGCTCTAGTTAATATATTTTCTGTGTTGCAACTGTGAACGTAAATATTATGCCTATTTTTATGAGAACTGTCTTCATGCTAAACTGTAATCTTTTAAAACACGAATCAACACACACTGCGCAGAGTGAGAAAAAAAAAACTTTTATCAAATCCATGTGCACTAACAGGAATGAAATGTTCTGTAGTTAATCAAGCGAACTCTATATGTTTCGCCTCAGCTAAACAAATACAGTTTTGTTTCCTAAGAAATAAGCATAATTTAAGCTGTTACTGTTTTTTTTCGGAAAACAAAATTGCTTAAGGAAGCTTATAACATCCATAGAACAAGACAGTACTTTATCTGTTAAATTTGTGTAAGAAAGTTTAATGTTTTTTTCCTTAACATTTGTTTATTTATTTATGATTTATTTGTGATAAACAGAAACAGTTGTTTATATTTTGGTCATTGTACAGATGTTGAGTAGGTTGTATTATGTTGCTATGTCGTGCTCTGTTTGACGAACATAAATTTCGACAATAGCCCTTCAGCGTGGTTTCCATTGAACAAATGGCTCCATCGTAAGGCTGTCATGTTAAAAGAATAACACTCCTATCTGCAGGCTTTCTATTAACCATCTAGTGTACGATGGTTTTCCAGGGCCCATTTTAACAGTCCAACTGCACAGAAATCATATGCACTAGGTAGGCTACTTGATCGATATATCTTCGTATGGAATAACATGAATACGCCTTTTATTTCCAGCTGATTGAGGTATGTATTGGTTTAAGGGATATTTCATAGAAGCAACTTGTATACAAGTGATTTGCGCTGCTTTTCCAAATGAGTACCATTCTTGATAATGTTGCATACTGTTGCGTAGGGCATGTGTACGGCTTGTGCTACTGACCTTCATGTTCATGGATTCTCATAAGTTATAAAGTGCTGCAGTTTGCTTACCACGCCTGGGTTACGACTTATGGCAGTTATCTTTTTATGTGGTCTTGGTGTCTCAAGTTGATCTATATTCCCATGTTTTCCAATGCCATTAAATACAAAGATATCCCCGTCTTAAAAATTATAAATTCCTGATCTGACTCCATCTTTATGACCTGAGTGTACGAATATTCTACTCGGGGAAGGACTGTCCTGATCATTCCCAACGCCGTTTACGCTGTCTAAGTGCAGTTCTGATACATTCCATTCCAGTGAGACTTTATATCGGCCGTGATTGTTATGTGACTTGTTGATTTGTACATTCAAAAATAATATTAATGTAACGCACTCAACCCTCTTGTAACACGACGTTCAATAAGATTATGGCATTGTGAGATATGAGGTATTATTTCAAATCTGGTATTCTAGACTGTCTATCTGTTTAATCTTTATCAACTTTCTATTTAACGTTAATCTTTGTAAGGTGCGATTCTTTTGTCACATATCTTAGTTATCTGTTCTTTGTTTAGTCTTAATATGCGTAATGTGTTACTTCTTTATCACAGGCGTTATTTGCTTATTCTTTGTTAAACTTTAATCTTTGTAAGGTGTGGTTCTTTTATCACAGCCATTCGTTGCCTGTTCTTTCTTTAGCCTTTGCTAAACCTTTCAGACCTTTTTTTCCCTGCTTAACCTTAATGTTTATACGACCACCGTTATATTTTTGCGGTTTAAACTTCTCCTTGGTTACGTCTACTTCTTACTAGCACAGCCTTTCATTCTCTATTATCTCTTTAACTTTAGCCTTTGAATATACGGCCTAATTTTTGTTATTCCAGATTAGAAATGGATGATTGGTAAACTCAGTGACTTAATCTAGGAACTGATTGTTCTAAAGAGAGAGCCAGATACGAAACTCATATACTGAAAGTACAGTATTGATTTAATTATTAAGAAGGAAAGCTGAGAGATATATTGTTCTTTTGAAGGTAGATTTAAATCTAGAATAACGAAGAATCCATCTTACGCAACGTAAATACTACAAACTTATTAGAAATACTTCTATGTATCAGAAGTTCATCGAGCATTGTTGTAACCAGCTTTGTCATGTTCATAAAAGAAAAGTCTAGAGCCTTGAAACATGAAACAAACCTTTTTTTTTTGTTACAAAATTAAATCGTTTCTCAAAACTGTATATAGGGATACTTTCAAAACGTAAGTCAACGACTGACTTGCTATCTTTAACTGTAAGTTGTAGAGAACGGCTAATTAATCATCTTTAAGGGTAAGTTGTAGAGAACGGCTAGTTAATCATCTTTAAGGGTAAGTTGTAGAGAACGGCTAGTTAATCATCTTTAAGGGTAAGTTGTAAAGAAAGGCTAGTTAATCATTTTTAAGTGTAAGTTGTAGAGAAAGGCTAGTTAATCATCTTTAAAGGTAAGTTGTAGAGAACGGCTAATTAATCATCTTTAAGGGTAAGTTGTAGAGAAAGGCTAGTTAATCATCTTTAACTGTAAGTTGTAGAGAAAGGCTAGTTAATCATCTTTAACTGTAAGTTGTAGAGAAAGGCTAGTTAATCATCTTTAAAGGTAAGTTGTAGAGAAAGGCTAGTTAATCATCTTTAAGGGTAAGTTGTAGAGAACGGCTGGCTGATTGTTTGTAATTGTAAGTTGTAGAGAAAGGCTAGTTAATCATCTTTAAGGGTAAGTTGTAGAGAAAGGCTAGTTAATCATCTTTAAGGGTAAGTTGTAGAGAACGGCTGGCTGATT